GCCCCGGAGCTCGCAGGCAGCAATCCGCCACCTCGACCTCCGGGGCGAGAAAGCCCCGTTCGTAAGTGCGGATCCGACATAAGTCGGATCCGCATAAGTCGGGGACTGCCTGTATATTATTTGTTACTTTTCCATCTAGTTATTATGCTTGCAACAGGAATATTGTGGTGATAATAAAAGTTTTCTCTTTTCTTTTTATTAACCTGGTATTGGTTAATGGTGATGTCCTACCTCGACCTCCGGGGCGAGAAAGCCCCGTTCGTAAGTGCGGATCCGACATAAGTCGGATCCGCATAAGTCGGGGACTGCCTGTATATTATTTGTTACTTTTCCATCTAGTTATTATGCTTGCAACAGGAATATTGTGGTGATAATAAAAGTTTTCTCTTTTCTTTTTATTAACCTGGTATTGGTTAATGGTGATGTCCTGCTTTTTACTTTAGGGGTGAGATTTTCCCAAATGGTGTCTCCCCTGGTTTCTTTATTAATTTGGGAGGTGGCAGCAGAATTTTTATTCCCAAAATCTAGGTTTTTAAGATTTTGGGGGGAAGTTTTATACCAAAGCCTGGTAGATAAGGTTTTGGGGTAACTGCTGGCCCCCACTTCTGCATTTATCGTGCCAGAGTGGTGAAGGAGCCATGACACCACCTATGATTTGTCTTTCTAGAACCCTACAAGTAAGACTGACAGTAACATTTTCCCTCTTTGCCCTAATGCTTTGACCAGTAGATTAGCTGCATGACAGGTGAGACCATCCCTTCCCCCTGGCATTCTCCAGAGTTCTCTACCTCTCTGTATGCAGGCAGCAAACCAAGTGTCTGAGTTTATGGCAGGGCATCAGGGATCTTAAATTCTTTAGTTATAATTCTGACTACAAAAACTGCAGTGGAAAAGGGTGACATCCTGGGTTTTACCAGTGATGTGAAGGAGGTCCTTCGCAGCTGCTCTGAGATCTCTTCATCAAGGGGAAATTATTGCTGGGTGAACCTGTTCCCCTTTCTGACCATAGGTAAAGATGACAAAAATAGGTGCTAAAAACATCCTGTTCTACTTAACTGCACTCCAGTGGGAGTCATAAGGTCCAAAATGCTCATGTATTGGAGCAAGTTTGACACAGAAGATGGCCAGAGATGGGGGAGGGGCTGTGTGTTCTATAGTCAGGATCAAGAAAGCAATGTATGCAACCATCATGATGGCAAGGTCCACAATGAACTGTTCGATTGGTCCATGGAGTTCCCCTCCACACTGAGCATTACATTGTCGACAGCACCCTAAGTTCCCAAAATGACACCATCATACTACACTGTACTATGTGCCAGGTATATCTTTATT